CATCCATGCTTTCTTCTTGAGAGCTTCTTCAACACTCATAGGTCCAGAGTCTATTTACATGGAACACTGAACAATTTCTCCTTCTAAATCGACTTCAGTTTATTGCAACATGTCAAACTCTTCAAACCTTCTTGGTATTCGTCTGATTCTTTGTGGCCTCTGAACTTGTTCAGAAACTCTTTCCATTTCTAGAACAATATCAGATATTTGACCACCATCAGAAGTTCCACCTTCTGAATTGCCTTCACAACCTCTATCTTCTAAAGTTTCACCTTCAGAATCATGATCTTCACCGGAAACATGATCATCTTCAGAATCTTGTCCTCCAGAACTATGTCTTTAGAGTTTTCCCTTCCAGAAGCAAGACCATCACCAGATTCTGGATCATCATCAAAATCTGGATTAGAATCAGATTCACCACCTGACTTATCTTTAGAGTTTTCAGAATCATCATCTGACTCTGATTCTTCTTCAGAATTATCAAGTTCTGGCTTATCTTCATAAATAGATTGAGACTTGCTCCAATCCCATACTTCTGATTCTTTTACAATGACGTCTTTGCTGACTTCAACTTTATTAGTTTCTGAACAATAGAGCTTGTATGCACCTGTACTGTGGTACCCCACCAGAATCATTACTTTGTTTATGTCATCCAACTTCTTCCTTCTAGCTTCTGGAACGTGTTTGTAACATACATAACCAAACACCTTCAGGTGATTAATACTTTGCTTGTCTCCAGTCCACTTTTCTAAAAGAATAATTTCCTTCAGCTTCTTCGTTGGACACCTGTTAGACACATATGCTGACGTGGATACAACTTCTCCCCATAAGTTATGAGGTAGCTTATTCTCTTTCAGCATGCTTCTAGTCATACCAAGAAAAGTATGACTTCTTCTTTCAGCAAGACCATTGTGTTGAGGAGTATAAGGAGAAGTAATCGCATGCTCAATTCCATTCTCATCACAGAACTTCTGGAATTTTGTAGAGTTATACTCACCTTCACCATCCGTTATGAGAATCTTCAGCTTCTGACCACTTTGTTTCTTAGCCTTCACATTGAACTTTTAAAACTCGGTAAACACATCATGTTTAAACTTTATGAGTGTTACCCATGTCATTCTTGTGAACTCATCCACAAAATACATAAAATATTTATTTCCTCCAAGTGAATGTTCTGGAAATGGTCCACACACGTCAGAATGCACTACTCCCAAAGCATGTTTTTCTCTTAGATCTACTTCTGACACAAATGGCAATCTGGGTTGCTTGCCTTTCATGCATACCTCACATGATTTCTCAGGCTTCACAATCTTAGGAATGCCACGTACGAGCTTCTTAGAACTCATATGCCTTAAGCTTATGTAGTTCAGATGCCCCAACCTCTTGTGCCATAGCTTACTATCAGCTTCAGCGTCTTATGAACTAAGACATTATGCTTTTGTTGTCTCGACATTAACCTTGAATATCATATTGCTTCCTTATTTTGATTGCATAATCATCTCCTGATTAGCATCATACAACTTCAAGAGATTGTCCTTTATAATAACTGAGAAACATTTCTCAATAAGCTGACACACACTCATCAGATTGCTCTTAATTTCAGGTACATATCAAACATCCTTGATCAAAAAGGTCTTCCCATTCTTCACTTTAACTTTGACATTTCACATACCTTATGCATTAAGGTACTTATAATCAGCACATCTAATTTGTGTTTTCCTTCTGGAGTCAAAATCTATCAGCCGTTGTTTGTTTACAGTCAAGTAACTTGAACAGCCAATCTCCATATACCACCAGTCTGCCAAACACTTTCCATCAGACTCAGAAGCCATCAATAGCACAGGTTCATCATCAGAATCTCCTCTGGCTATATTTGTTTCTTCTGATATCCTTCCTGTATTTGACTAGTAATATTTAGCAAAATGGACAAATTACATACAACAATAACATTAAACCTTCTTCTTGTCAAACTTCTCTCTACCCTTCTGAGGTTTCTTCTCATCAGAAGTAGAAGTTTTTGACTTTTGGAATCTATCACCAGGTTTTTTTTTTGGTTTATGACCAAGAATGCTTCTGGTCCTTCTTGACAAAATAAGCCTTCAGAGCCTGCTCAACTTCCCTCTCAGAAGTTTTTTCAGTCAGACGCAACTCATGTGCCTCTAAACTGCTTTGCAACTCTTCTATTCTCATGGTTTTTAGATATTTAGAATGTTCAATTTCTATAACAATGTAATCAAATTGAGGAATAAGTAACCTTAATATTTTCTCAATGATTACTTGTTCAGAAATGATTTCTCCCTAAGCCTTCATCTTATTAGTGATCAGAATAACTTTAGAGATATACTCAGAAACCTTCTCATTGTTCTTCATGTTGAGATTTTCATATTTCTTTCGTAGGGACTGAAGCTTCACATTCTTCACTGATGTGTCACCACCATAACATCTAACCAGTATATCCCACGCATCCTTTGATGTTGTCGAATCTGCAATCTTCTCAAACACGTTCTCATCTACACACTAATGGATGTAGAACAACGCCTTCTGATGTTTCTTCCTCTTATCTCTCTGTGCGTTTCTCTGCTCTTCTGTTGCGTTTTCTGCAACTGAAACATAACCTTCAGTAACAAGCTCAAGAACATCTTGAACACCGAACAACACACGCATCGGAATCATCCAACGATTCTAGTTCTTGCCATCGAACACTGGAAGTTTGGTACTCAGATTGTCGTTTCTGTTCATCTTTAACCTTGTACAACTCACTCAAATCTCACAAGCACAATATTTTCCAACCCCACAGAATCAGAAAAAATGTGATTCTATTCAGATTTTTGTTCAAGATCCAACACGAACCCAGTGCAACATAGGTGCATCTAGAATATCCACTTGTGGCTGAATATTTAGAGACAATTTACGAACATTCTTTAGAGATTTCTAACCTAAGCTTAGATTTTGTACCTCCATTCAAGCTGAATTACACATAATCATACTTACTATCGAATATGCTAATAAATGAAATTAGAGAAATCTTTAGCTTGAAAATGACTTCATGATGGCCATTCGTGTATTTTCTAAATGAATAATGTGTTTTGACATCTCTTAATTAAATAAAATAATACTTTACATACTATTTATTCCTTTGAATTCAATATATCACACATTTTTAAAGAGATAAATATATGTGCAGACAGGTTAGTCAATGTAAATTTTCTTGTTAAATATGACACTTGGAAAAATTAAATTTCATATTTGTGCTTTTGAAAAAAAATGTGATTATATATACACCAAATTTATTAATTATATTTTCAAACACATATAAATTTAATGTCATATAACAAATGATACCATTTTTAAATAAATGTAATTTTAATATTTTTTTAAATAAAATGGTAGTGTAACTATTCATACATCTCAAAATCTAGTCTAAAATTATTGTGTTAATTTTTTCTATCCTCCTTTTATTTTTGTAGATAATTTGAACAATAATAAAATGGAATTATTTTACTTATAAAAATTATTATTAAATAGAAGAAGAGTAGCTTAACTAGTTGAGCTAGCTCAACTACTAGTTTAAGCTAGATAAATATAAATTATTAGTCAAGATATATTTTTTAATTTTTTATAATACACTAATGTAAACAACTTATTTATAATAAACTAACAATTTGAAAATCAACAACTTTAAAATAATAATAATATTAGATAAATTATCATTTTATTAAAATGATTATTCACTATTACAACCAAACTCTCAATAAATAATATTATATTTTAAAAATAAATTTTATTTTACAAATATTGAAGACTATAAATCAAATATAATCCAGATGAGGTGTAAATCATTAAAAAAAATTAAAAAATAAATAATACATAAATTTAAAATAATCTTTATGCATTATTCATATTTTTAAAATAATATTAAGACTTATTCAAATATATTATGCCACATAAATATATTTGAATAAGTCTTAATGGTATTTTAAAAAACATACTATAAATATTATATATTTTAAAATGTGTGCAAAACTAAATTTAAAATAATATATTTATAAATTAAATCAAGACTATTTCAAAATATTGTTTTAATTCAAATAAAAATTTATAAAATGTCAGTGACTAATTTTTTAACTAATTAGTAAATGATTTTTTTTAATACATATCTACATTTTCTTCCTTAAATATTTAATTTTATAATTTGATATATTGTCTCTTAAGTATTTTAACAATTAGAATTTAATATATATATTCAACTCCAAGCATTTTTTTAAAGGACAAAACAATAAAGAATTTTCAAGTTTAAAGAAGATAATATCTGGTTGACGAAGTGTGGACTTGACATCGCTGAAAAAACTAACAAATCCAAAATATTTTGAAATACAGAGTATATTAAACTATAGTTCATAATAGCACTCATAATTCAAAATTGACAGAGAAATTTATTGATAATTTAAATATAAGTTCTCAGACTTGCCACAATAAAAATTACTCTAAATACTTATTTGAAGTAACATAAAATATATAAAAAACATAAAAAACATAAAAATTATAATGTTTGAAAATGTTAAACATAAGACTTTTAATGCCCAAATAAGAGTCTTAAATCTCTAACAGCTTGCAGCACACGAGGAGGGAGCTTTTAGTCCATATACTCGTTTTCTTCCATTCCATCAAAGAGCCTTGCATTCCTAAAATACAAAATTTGCATAATAAATTATTGTTGTACAATTACTAATATATATATATATATATATATATATATATATATATATATATATATATATATATATATATATATATATATATATATATATATATATATATATATATATATATATATATATATATATATATATATATATATATATATATATATATATATATATATATATATATATATATATATATATATAATCAGATATATCATTATTCAATGAATTTAAAAAATTAAAAAATTGTTTTTAATAAAAAATTGCAGGATGTATAATGTATATAATGGTTACCCTTCATTGTGGAACAGGGAGTCGCAGAAAATCTCCTGGATTCTGTAACATAAAAAAAAATATAGATATATTAAAATAATAATATATGTAAATTTGATGAAGTTTCAGTTTGTAATTATCAAAATTTTAAACGTTTTTATATTAAATAGATCATTAAAAAAGAAAATATTGGAGTCCAAAATCACATCTATTACTAATAAGCTTCAAATCTAATCATGCAAATGAGCTTTTGTGATATTAAAATGTGATCTATTCGGTTGGATTTATGAGAAGCTAGCAATAACTCATGGATTTATTTCATATGTTAGATATGCAATGGATCTAACAAATAATTTGGTCAAATAAAAAAAGCAATTAAAAGAAAATAAAATAAGTGCAATTTATTACCTTCTTATCCAAGGTGCAAGCAAAAGGGACACAGCAATCAAGCAAAGGTTGTCCACAGTTTCTTATGTAATCGTAAACAATCTTACTGTATTCAACAATCGCAAAATTTGTGAAGTAGTTTCCAATGAACTCGTCTATGTAAAAATAGACGTGATATCCACGCTTGAAAAATATTAAATCATGGTAAGGATGATAGGATAACAATTGACCATGTGTATTAAGAGGCAAGAACTCTTCATTCTCTATGTGAAAAATCATGTCCCATGCATAAGAGCTAGAATTGTTTGTAACACATTCTATGAGTTCAAAAAGCCAAAAATTCAGTCCCCTACATAAGACTAACATGACCATGTCGTCTTTGGAAGTTATTTCCCATTTAGAACCATTCACAAAGCAATCTGAATGTAGTTGTATTACCTCGGTTTGGTTTGAAACATTCTCTTGCGGATCAATTTTAATTCTGATCAAATGTCCAGACTTGGAGAGACGATAAATTGATCCTTTTAGATAAATTGATTTTTGAACCCACTTAGACTTATTAATATGTTCAGGCAGATTAATAGTCAAAGTAGTCCAAAGACCAGTCAGAGAAGAGAAAATGTTGATATGACGATGACCCTGAAAACGTACGATCCTAAAGAACCTAGATTCTTTAGGATCATATGCCAAAGCAGCATAGGAATAACTTCCTGACTTTTGACCTATAGACTTTTGAACAGCTACACATTGTTTTGTTATAGGATTCATGACATAGTAATAATATACATCACGAATGATGTTTGGAGCCATGCCATTTTTGTGACAAAACAAGTATAACCCATTGCATGTGTCTAATAGTTTTTTGGGTGTTGTTTCACAATGCATGACCAATGAACACCAATGGAATATATTTCGCAATTCCCTATATGGGTTTGGTAGGAAATTGTGAGGCGTCACAAATGGTTGTAATAGACTCTCATTTGGTAAAGTTGTGTTCAAAATGATATTTCGCCATTTATGTGAGACACACATAGAAATTGATTGTTCTTCTGAAGACAACTTATCAAATATGTTTGATTGAAGCTCTGGTGGGAGTCTATTGAAGAAGGACTTAGGTGTCCTTCTTCGCATAGTTCTCTTCTTTCTAACTATCCAATTTTCCATTAAAATGATGATTATGACTATTAAAATGAAAAAAATTGAGAGAAAAAAGAGAGATTAGGGAGTGTAAGTGAGACCTCTATTGCTGAAAGACTCTATTCTTATATATGTGACATATAAAACACAGTTTACATTTTATAGAGCAATTTCAGATTAAGAAAATAATGTGTTCATAGTCAATATAATTTTAGGATTTATTATATACATCGAATAAATATTTGCAATAAAATATAAACCAAATAAATCATATGTATTTAGTTCAATAATTTAGCCAAAAACATTTAATTTCTAGATATATTTTTCTTAAATTTTCTTATAAAAAGACTATCTAGTGTAACCCTTTATTCACTGTCAATCACAATATTGGAATAAAACATAAAGAAACAATGATACATAGTTTTTTTTAAAAGAACAACTCATTGTTACATATATTTCAAATATTTGATTTTTTATTTAAATCATTTAATTAATAGTCTTAATTAACATTTATGGTTTTGTACTTTAAATAAATAAATATAAAGGAATAGAAGGAAGAAAAACAAAATTATTTGAATTTAATGCACTTTCTTTGGTTTTCTCCAATAATTTAATTTGTAACATATTATTTTTGTATATTATTTGAATTTTGTAAAATAATTTTTTACATAATATTTTAAGTTTAATATTCGTTTTGGTCTCATATATTAATCTCAAAGTTCATTTTAATTCTTTAACTCTTCAAAGTATATCATTTTAGTTTTTTCGCTTAACTAGCGACGAAAAAACTCAAAAATTAAAAATTAAATTCGTTATTAATTAAAAGAATAGACTAAAATGATATATTTTGAAGAATTAAAAAAATTAATATAAACTTTTTTTTTTAATTTAAAAGACCAAATTGAATCTCAAATTTAAAATTCATAACTTTATTGTAAATGATCAAAACTAATATATTTTTAAAGTCAAAATAAATAAATATAAAAAATAAAGGGAATAATAAAAGGTTTCATAAAACCGTCAAATACTTAAATACAATTCATTTAAACCTTAGTCTAATTTTTAAAACTATTTTATTCACTAAAAATAGATCAGAAATACATGTATATCAAATTTCTAATAATAAACAAATACTTTTCTAAGAATAACATAAAAATATTTATTAGTACCAGCTTCATCTGAAATTATAAAGATCTCGTTCAAATATGTTTATCTCAAATTATTGGATCTATTTAAATTTATAAATAAGTTTTTCTCTCTGAATATATCTATTACCAATAATATTTATTTGTCTTCAAAATATAATAATTTATATTAAATACATTAATATACAAAAAATAATCTAATTTTAGTATATATATATATATATATATATATATATATATATATATATATATATATATATATATATATATATATATATATATATATATATATATATATATATATATATATATATATATATATATATATATATATATATATATATATATATATATATATATATATATATATATATATAAAAGAAGACGAGTGACTCCAGTATAAGATGTATCGAAAATGATAAGAAGGAGTTCAAGATTACAATCTAAAATTTAAAAGAATAGCGGACTATATAATAGTTGATACCCAAGATAAAGGATTTAACTTCTAGAATGGTAATCATAATCGAAAGTAACATATTTCGACTTTAACTGCTAAAATTAATGAAGGTTTACCATTTCAGATAACGCCTGCAACTGCTCTGTTTTATTCTAGAAATATGCCAATTTCGCTCTTTCCAAATATTTCAAACCACCGCGAACAAAATAATGTTAAAAGTCAACCGATTGTTTTTCAAGATCACACTAAGACCACCAAACTCCAAACAATGGTCCAAAACCTTTCATTGAGATGTTGTTGAGAATCCTAACCTATTAACAATAGTAGTCCTTAGTCCACTGAAAAAATTATATGTTACAAACAAATGATCTCTGTCTTCAGTCACGCCATAATTTGTCACACATTTATGACCATCTGTAACAAGAATCTGCCGCCTAACCAGATTGTCCTTCGTCAAAATACGATTTAGTAACAACCGCTTGACAAAAATAGATACCTTAAGCGGCTTAGTCTTCCAGCATAAAAATGGGAATTATCCTGATTGTTGATGATGTCAACTTTAGACAGATATTTATAAGCATTGTTAACTGTGTAGCAAGAAGAGGGATGTAAAGTCCACACTCAACGATCTTTACTTCCACCTGCTAAACAACTGAGGTTAACCTCTCACTACACTTTCTCACTAACTTCTTCTCCTAAGTAAGCAACCTCTTACGCCACTTCAACGCCTCTCCATTCTCCCTCACCCAAATTCTTTCATTTATGCTATTGTAGTCCTTCTATTCTCTGCTAAATCAAACAACCTACTAAATCTCTTCTTCAATAAAAATCATATAGGGAACATGCACTGAGAGCGAAGTCGTGATCTCAATTTCTAAATTGAGTGACTCATCGATCAACAATTAAGGAAGGTAATAAAAATCTTATAGGGAACATGCACTGAGAGCGAAGTCGTGATCTCAATTTCTAAATTGAGTGACTCATCGATCAACAATTAAGGAAGGAAAACACAAACACAACACATATAACAAACAAAATGCAGAATGCTTGTTACAGGTCTTTAAAGAAATCAGAGGGCCTCCTGACATATATCAGCAACAGAGGTCTCATCATGCAATAGAAAGCAATAAAAAATGGAAACAGTAAAAAAGGAAATAATGCAATACCAAACAGATAACTATCCGTAGCAACTGATTAAGAAGAAAAAGAAACTCCGAGAACTTCAAGCAAGCTAACATTAGTAGATAAATCAAGTCAGAAATTACGCCATTAAAATGTAAGCATGAAGGCTTTCAAATAGGAACATATCCCTCAAGTGATGTACAACAATCATAATCACATATATATCCTGCAAAGACTATCAAATATGCCAAGCACAAGAATGGTGCAAGCATAGCCAATTGTGTTCCACAAATAAAGTGGAACACTGTAGCCTCAAGTTAATTAATGGAAAACTTTTCTCAGAGTACCTCACACATTCAACAGACAGATTAGTATTCTCACAGAGAAAATGATGAATCACATAAGTGATGGATGATGACACAATAAGGAAATGGGAAAACATGATAGAAAATATCATAGCATTAGACATGGGAAACAACAAGTAGGCATAGGCAACAATTTGGTCAAAGCTAGAAGACTGTTGCTCCTTTTAATCACCATCTTAAATTGACAAGTAAATATCAATCAAGGATCAAAGAAGATGGAGAAGAATACAATTAAATACCTTGAAAGTCAGTAGCAAACACTACTTAACCAAGCATACATGTTTCATTATGTCTCACAAGCATAATAGAAGAGGGATTCTACAAGAATGTACCATAAAGTTTGGATCATAAGCTAGCACTGAAAGAAAGTTAAACAAAAACAAAACTAGAAAGCTTAAACCATTCAAAGATTTGAAATCAAGCTTCTAACATATTATGAGGATATGATCAAAAGGTTAGAATGTTGATTCTAATACATGTTGCACAAGTGCATTCAATATATCTCAAAGATTCAAAATGAGAAAAGAAAGGAACATCAAATTCATATATGAATGAAAATGGTTCAAGCACTAGAGATCAGTTATTTTCAAGTCCTTATGAGACTATCATTAAAGTTTCATTTCTCTACATATTATCATTGTCCACTTGATGACCTCAAACTCAAGCTAAAAGCTCAAGTTTCAAAGTGAGAATCAATAAGAAAACAAAAGTTATAAAGCATGCATCAAAAGGCTCAACATTCAATTATGAGGAAATTAAATGAATTAACTTAAGTTTATGTGAATAAACAGAAGCAACGTGATCATTATATTCCCAAATTACATGCCTCACATAAGTTCATTGGCCAATAAACAAGTTGCAATAAAGAATGCAAACTCAATTGATCATCTTCACTTCAAAAATACATCAAAAGTAGAAACAAGGATCAATAAATCACAAAAAAAATCTTAACATCTTTGAAGTGTATAGAAGTCAGAAAGCAAGTCTTAAGTTCATGAATAGTTGAGGAAGGGATCAAATAAGGCTCAAAGTTCAAAACTAGTTGGCCAAACTACCAAACTAGACAAGTTTTCAAAATATTTTGTGGAAAAATATGAAACCAATTTCAATAATCCAAGAAAAATTATATTTAGATCCTCAATCCATCTATGAACCTTAAACAAGATCCAAATCCCGTTGGAAATCCAGAGAAAAGTGATTTTAAAATTGAAACTTGCACAATAAGCAACAAAACCCTAATTGTTTGACTTTTAATCTTAAATATTAATTAGATAAGATCAAAATTCAAACAATTAAAAACAAATATACACCAATCATGAAAAAACTCAAGAGATCAGAATACCTATTTTTCTATTTTTTTAGAGTTAAAGAAAAGTAAAAAAAAATCAAATTCAAACAATTTATCAATTAAACAATCACCTACATTTCAAAATAAAATTCTAATTAAAATTCAAAAGAAAATTAAACCCAAAATTAAGATTCAAATATTAGAATTCAAAGAAAACATCTCTGATTTTTTTTAGATTTTTTAGATTAAGGAAAATATTAAAATAAAATAAAATACAAACAAATAGACCATTAAACCATTATTAAATCACAAAATGTAAACCCTAACCAAAAAATCAGAAGAGGATCAAACCAAAATTATATTCAAATACTATGATTAAAAACAAGTTTCTATATTTTTTTTAATGAATTTTTGGATCAAGGAAAATATTAAAACAAAAATTGTGAAATAAAAAGGATCAAATAAAACTCCCAAATTAAATTTCTAATCAAAAATAAGAAAAATACAAAACAAATTTCAGAATCAAATTCTAAAAAATTTTAAGAGTCCAAAACTTTATTTTGTGGAATTTTTAGATCAAAGAAAATTTTAAAACAAAAATAAACATCAAACAAACAATTAATTCAACTTATGAATTTTTAAACCAATCA